CCACCCGGGCTCGCCGCAGGTTTGATTAAGCTGGCGTTGGCTTCAGCCAGGACAACTTCAAGACGGTCTGGCCGCAGGCAGAGGGATAAAGGAGAAGCCAGCACCGCAGTCCCCACCGCGGACGTAACTTCCTGAGCACGGCACTCGTGTTTTATTGCCACCCACGGCTCAGCCCCTTTCCTGGTTTTGCTGGGAAAGCTCGCCCAGTGCCTCCGGCGCTTTCCTCTCCCTGTCCCAGCGGCTGCAGCTGGAAAGGTATGCCGGGGATTTGCCTGCCCACAGCTCCTAACTGCTTTGAAACCCTCTCCGAGTCCCTCTGTTTGCTAACGAATGCACTGTTTGACCACAGAATAAAGCTTTGTCGGCAACAAGTTCCTCTCAGTGCCGCGGGAATCCCATTTTTTGGGATGCTCCGTACCGCAGGCAGGTGTGGTGGGCAGGCAGAGCTGAGCCGAGCGGCCGCGTTCTCTGCCAGAGGCACTGGTGCTGCACGTCGGGGCACTGCGTGGCATCAGGGACCGTTTCCCACTTGGAAAGCTCACCAGAAGGAAAACTAAAGACTTTTAGGGGAAAGAGGTGAAGGCTACCCAGCCTTCCACACAGGTTGGAGCAGGAGCCCTGGCACGCCGGGTGCTGGCATCCCACCTTGCCCCCCATCACTGATGGAGCAGATGGCACAGCACTGCACCTTCAGGCAGGATGCTTACGGTGAAGGTGACCCAACAAGATGCTGATGCCCTCCCGGACCTTGCCTGCTGCCACCAGCTCTTGCAAGCACCTGCTTTGGGAACACAGGTCGAGCTGGTGCCCCGCTGCCGGCTGTTTTCCGCTGCATCAGCATTCAGGGCTTTGCTCATGAGGAGGGTGAGGAGCCGCGCTTCTTCATCCGAACTCTTGTTTCGGAGCGGGCAGACGGGAACAGAAACTGCAGAGGCTGAAGCAGCCCTGGCTGGGGGCGGCTGCGAAAGAGGCTTTGGGCGGTGAGGAGCAGCTTTGCCGACCCACCCTCCCTCGCCTGTACCTGTGTCTGCGGGTTCTAGGAGGAGCCCTGCTCCGGTGCAGCTGGGTGCCCCAGCTCCCTTGGGCAGACATCCTTCCTTCTGCTGTGGGAAGCATCCCAAAGACTCCGGAGCAGAGCCAGCCCTTGGGGAGGTGCAGCTGCAGGCTTGCACCAGGGTCAGACAGAGCCCGGGCTACTCCTGCAATTCCCATGCAAGGACACCAAGACCTTCCAGTTGCAGCTCACCAGCTTGTGAAGGTTTTCTTTCCTCTAATGCCTTTGGGGTAAATGCTTCCCTTTTATCATCAGTGTTTTACCCTTTTGCACCCACATTTCCAGCTCCCAAGAGGATGGCCAGACTTCCATGCACCCTTGCTGTCCCGGGTATCACAGGTCACCACAGGACTTCCAAGTCCTCTCCCAGCTCTGTCTCCTCTGCCTCTCCCATACTCAGAAGGCCAAATCTCGAAGCATATGGAGGGACATACGAATTACAACCAATAATCCCCTTTTGAGCATCATTGCATCAGCCTAGACTTGTGAAACCAAAGTTTCTAGTAGGCGACAAACTCCCGACAGACATCATTTCATCACCCAGGCACAAGGCCAGCAGTCACCAAGCGACACGCAAGACAGCCCCTTTCATAAGACCTAAGCATCCTCAAGCTCAAAAAAGGGCCGAAACTCTTTGCTCAGGAATCGGGTCATCGGACACTTTGTTTTGCTTCAGCCTGGCAGGATTTTAATCGTCACTGCTGGCATAACTTGCGCCGGTGACATGGTGGTCACGCAGCAGAAACCCTGAGGACAAGCGAGGTGGCTGGGACATGGCTTTGGCAACGTGAACCGATAAGCTGTGTCACTTGTCCTCTCTGGCACCGGGAAGGGAAGAGGGCATTGCCATGGCAATGGGATTTGCCGGCTCGGCTGACAGCATTCCTCACCACGGCAGCGTCAGTGATGCTCCCATGGTGCCGAGGCGATGGGGACAAGGAGGAGCTGGCGGTATCGGGTGCTGCAGTTGCACGAAGCTGCCTTCTCTCATTTTAGGGGAAGAGATTTACCCGGATTTAAGCCGCAGCGGCAACACAGCTTAAGAAAAAGATGGTGATACAGAAGCGGGAGTCTGAAGTACCCGGGAGGGAGGAGTTGAGAGCGCAAAGCCCGAAGCCAGAGTTGCAAGCCACAGATTGCACTGCTGGTTGCAACCTCTTTCCTCAAAATGTAGAGCAGAGCTTTGCAGCGAGAGCTCTGCTGGGGAGATCAGAGAGATGGTAAGAGATAGCAGGTGGAGGTGGGGGACAGGAAGGATGGCAGGGTGTCACGCAGGGTGTCACGCCTCCCCGTCTCACAATTTGGGCTTGCTTTGTGCATACAGGCGCTCGCTCACCTCCCCGCAGAGCCGTGGAGGTTAGGAGGGACTCGGGGCTGGAAAACGCCCCAAATATTATTAGTTCTTTTGACTCTCCCATGCCAGGGTCCTCCCTAAAGGTACAAAGAACGAGACTTGCTATTTGTGAGGTGGGGAAGGTGCGAGGGAGAGAAGCCAAGCTGCAGCAAATGCAGTTACTCGCCGGGTGCTCCTGCATGCTGGTAGCTACAAAGCAAGGTCGCCACCTCCCCAGACCAAAGGATGGTGGATGGGGTCTCGTATCCCCCCCCAAACACAGACACAGACCCTGCTCACCGTGGGCAGGGCACTCTGGACGGCTGCAATGCGACTAAAGAGCTGCCCAAATCTCGTGTGGCGGGGACTCTTCTCATTACCAGAGCTCTTCTCATTTGCAAGCACCGCAGCAGGCGCACATCGGTCCACGGTGAGCTGAACCATGGTTCAGCCGCTCCTCCAGCCACCCCCTGCCCTGAGATGGGCCAGCAACACCCTGAGACCTTTCAGACTCCGAGCGTGAGCAGCCGGTGGGCAGGATGCAGCCGCCAGCATGCTTGTCGTTTGGGATGCTTATCATATTTTTGGCATTTACAGATGGGAGACGGCAGCTCCCCGAACGACTGCAAGAGAGGGTCCTGCAGGTGTCAAAGGAGGCTCTGAATCAAACCTGCACTCGGCAGATTCGGACCCGGAGTCATAACCCAAATGGCTGGGTCACCGAAACATCATGCCCTGTGCCTGTTCCCCGCTTCCACGCTCGACGTCTCAATGCTTAAGCTCGCTCCCGCAGCGCTGCCCAGCTCCCTCCTCCCCCCCCAAAAGCACATTTTGGTGGCTCACCGACAGGGAGGGGTTGCCCTCGTCCTCGACGGTGACCACCAGGCTGTAGAAGCTCTGTCGCTCGCGGTCGGGCGGGGACGGTCGGGTGGCGATCTCACCGGTGACGCGGTCCATGCGGAAGGTCAGGTCCTCGTTCCCACGGGTGATGTAGTAGGAGAGGACGCTGTTGAGGCCGACGTCCCGGTCGGTGGCACGTACTTGGGCTACCGCCGTGCCACCGCCGACGTTCTGCAGGGCGAGACGGCGGGGTGAGGGGCAGAGATACACGACTTGAAACACACGCACCTCATAAGGCACAAAATACATACCTAGTAACATTAATAACATAACTCTAATATAGAGCAGGGTTCTCCCAGCCTCACCGCGGTGCTTGAAGCTCCAAACTCGCTGCCCCAACACCCAGCAGCCCAGCAGAAGGCTGCTCTCCTTCACCAGCTCCTGGACATCGTTTTTGCAGTGGTTATCGCAAATGATGTTTTATTGATAGATGCCTCTTCGTGCAAAAAAGTAACCAAGGCTACTCGCCCTGCCACTGATAGCTCAGATGAGAATCAGCCACCAGCTTAGCGATGGAAGGCTCTGCCCTTTGCTTCAGCTCTCAGATCTTTTTTTTTGGTTTGAAACTCCAGAATTAATTGTTATTTTCTACATTAGCTTCTAAAAAGAAATGGAATAAAACTAACAGGCAACATTTGCTGTGAAGTCACCAAAGCCAGCTACTGCTGCACGCCGAAATCACACTTCTTTTTCCTTAGGTTACAGCATCTCCCATTTGTTGCGATGAACCAGTTTGATTCCCCACCGCAGAAAGCTGTGCGTTAGGCTGGCACAGCCGGGGAGGGTGTAAAAATCAGTGTGTGTGCAAAGGTGAAGGCTGTGTAATGGACTCAGAGCTCGGCTAATTATTTTTGGATAGTCCCATTACGGAGGAAATCAAAACAGAAATTCTGTTCTTCAACCAGCTCTGAACATGTGTTAAATAGATAAGAAAGTCCTAACAGGGCAATAACTTTAATGCAAAGCTATTAATCATGAGCAGCACTTCCTCACGGCGAAGTGTCACTGGCTATTACTCGTATTTCATTTTTCATCATCAAATTGAGAAACCCCCCCTCCCCGGTCCAGGAATTAAACTGTCAGGAAATAAGTTGTCTTTTCTCACGCCTGATTGTGTTTTATTGCTTAATTATCTAGCTCTTGCCGAGCTGCTTCCTGAAAGCAATTCCTATTCTGCGCCGTGCCGCCTTTTGTGTCACTTCGGTGGCATTTCCATGGGGGTGTAGCCACTTCTCCTTCCTGCAGGTCCCTGAAGCCTCATGGGCTTAAGTTGCCTGCAGAGCTCTCTCCTAGCCCAAAACTAGGAGGCCGTCACAGATGAGGGTTTGCAAGGGGCCGGTAAACCTCAAATCACCCAAGGTGAGGTTTGCAAGGGGCCAGCAACCCTTGAATCACCCAAGGTGAGGTTTGCAAGGGGCCAGCAAACCTCAAGTCACCCAAAGTGAGGTTTGTAAAGGGCCAACAACCCTTAGGTCACCCAAGGTGAGGTCCCCACCTGCCCTGTGGTCAGACTTCACCACGGGAGGATGGAAGGAGAGGAGCAGGGCTGGATGCTCACCTCATTCACGCTCACGTTGTAGCCGAAGGGGCTGTCGATGATGGGGGGGTTGTCGTTGATGTCAAGGATGCTCACTCGCAGAGTGTGCTCCTTCCTCCGGGGAGGCATGCCGCCATCCGAGGCTTGGATCTGTGGTTGGGGGATCAATTTATCAAAAACCTGCTATTTTTAAGCTCACAGCCCCAGGAAAACAGCCTTGATGCTCAAACTAGAAGAAGCCCAAGGAGGTAAGCAGGGTGCTTTGATGCTTACCCGTAAGGTGTAGTGATCCAGCAGCTCCCGGTCCAGCGGCCGTGCCACAAACACCTCGCCGTAGGTGTTGTTGGTGGTCCGGATCTCGAAAGCTCGGCCAATGTTCCCCGACGTCAGCGAGAAAGTCACCTGGAAACATCACAGGGAAAGAAAAAAATGGCAGGGAATAGGATGCTGTGAGGAGGAAGGAGAGGAAAAAGACCCCCACAACAGCAAACCCAGCATCGTCTTGGGAAGCCTCTGAGCATTTTAGAAGGTCCAATGTGTTGAGGTCCATGGATGTGCTGGCTGACTGCAGCCACCCCAGCCTCATCCACAGCCCTCCTAGGGTGCTAGCAATGTTTTGGTGTTAAGGGTGGTACGGAGCGTGGGGCAGGTCCCTTTCAGACACCAAAGCAAGACGGTGGGCTCACTAACAGACCCCAAAATCCCAGACCCGACTCTGAGGGCATCAGGGCAGAGTCCTTCTGGATTTCCAGTCCTGCCAGCGGGAGCAGGACTTGGCCCGTGACATCTCAGACAGAAACTGCAGCGAGAGCAAACGGGACCTCATTAACGCCCGTCTGCGTGGTAAAGAAAATAGCAAGGGGCAGAGAGCTGCCTGCTCAGCCTGCCAAGGGTTTCGCTGCCGTTCTCCGTGGCAGGAGAGGCCACAGCTGGTTTTCAGATTGCCGGGCTCCTTTTGACAGATATCCCGCAGAGCTCTTTGTCCCAAACAGCCCAAGGACGATGGTTTCCTCTCCTGCACGCACGCCTTGACCCGCTGCACAAACATCCCCAGCACCGCCAGCATCAGTGACTGGAGTTTGCTTTCGCAGGGGAAGGAGTTGGGAAAACATCGATGGAGGCATTTCTGCCTGGGTGAAACACTGCAACAGCCTCACGGGCAGCCCCAAACCTGCTGCGTTGGCCTCCCTACCTGCCCGTTGCTGCCTGCGTCTGGGTCGCGGGCCAGGACCACGGCCACCCGCTTGCCGACCGCGCTGTCCTCTGCCACGCTCACGGAGGAGTCGGAGGTGATGTCGAACTGGGGGCTGTTGTCGTTCTCGTCCAAGACTGTGATGGTCACCTGCAGGCACGGCACGGGGCTCAGGCAGGGTGCAGGTAGGAGCCGGCCCCCTGCCCACCCAGGATCAACAGCCACGCTGATACCCCCGGCAAACTCTCAACCCACTGAAACCCCCCCAAGGTGCCAAGAGTGTGAGTGTTGTCCATCCCACATGGGAATGGGTGCAGGTATTAGAGTCCAGGAGCTGAAGCTCCATCTCCATCTGCAGAGGAAGAGGAGGAGAGATGCTTAAAGGCTGGAGAAAGAGCACAAGGATGCTGCAGCTCTCAAGTGGTGGATTTTTCTATAGAGCATCCTCTGGGATTTTTTTTAATCCTCCAAAAAATTGTGCACAAGGCAACTCAGGGTGCTGCAGGGTGATGCTTTCCTGCTAAGCTTTTCACAAGCAGCAATTTCATCCGTGCTTACAGCACCAGAGGTTGGGCAGGGTTTGCTTTAGAGCTAAATGGGTACAAAGACGACAGAGTTGCATGTATTTAACTAAACCAGGGTGAGCTGGGCTTAGAGAAGACCTGAGCTCCCTCCTGGGAAAAGGCACATGGGCGAGCGAGATCCCGGGCAGGAGATGCTCAGAGGGACACTCCACCGCAGGTGACCGGGGACCAGGCTACCTTGGCCACAATTAGCCAGAGGAAATGCTCTCATCGGGTTTGTAATCAAAGAGCCGTAACGCGACATAGAAATGAGAGAGGAAGAGCCTTTCTGTTCCCGGGGCTCTATTTATGGGTGCCCCCAGCCCCCAGGTGCAGCCAGGCTGAATGTGACAACATCCCGGAGGAAACCAGGGAGCGAGTGGTGCTCCTCGAGGCGATTCGGTTATTGTTGCCGATGAATTAAAAACAAGAGAGCCAGGAGCGGGGAGAGCCCATTCAGCTGCTGCGACGGATCCGGCAGCTGCTGTCCCAAGTGTTGGATCTGGGCGTTGGGATTTCTGCTCGCCAGCAGCAGGGTGGGTCACGGGCACCACGCCACGTCCCCAGGGTGTCACGGAGGCTGGTGTTGGTGGGATGGGGCTGGAGACCTCCACCCGCATCCCTCCCTGCAGCTCCATGTGGAGTTCGGGACGGATCCTGGCCGCCAAGATGATGCCAGCATGACGGACACGCTTACCTTCTGTTGGAGGAGAGCAGAGGGGGAAACAGAAAACAAAGAACCAGGAGTTAGTGGGGGATGAGGAGGTGCGGGCACACGTGAGAGGCAGTGGGCTAGCCCCGCATCCCACCGTAACAGTGTTGGGGGCCGCGGGTACCCCTCCTGCAGCAATTTGGAGACTCCTCTGTGGGTGCATCCCTTTGTTTTTCCTAGATAAGCTTGGCGGACTTGCCCTTCACCCTGGGAGAGGCTCAGACAAGAGCACAGCAGTGTGCGGAGAGCACAGCCGACGGCACCCATGGGTGGGGACAGGCAGCGCTCGCAGCCTCGCTGCCTTTGCCATCCCGCATCCTTTCCAGAGGCAACAGATGCACCAAGGCACGAGAAGACTTGAAACACAGAGCGCTGCCCATCGCTGTGGGCCAGCCTCCCATTTCAAACCCCTCCTGGGGCCCTGCTCCTCCAGCTGGCCCAAACCAGCAGAATTTGGGTAGTGCCAGCCGAGTTGCCCTGCCCTGCACCCCGCACCCGGCATGCCTCCTGCCCCAGCAAAGAAATGCAAATCACCCCCCTGCTCGGCTGCCTTTGAAACTGCCAAATATAACCCTCTTAAACATAAACCACCGTGAAGTATTTCAAGGCCCCCAAATTTACCTCCCTCAAAACTGTTTTAGCTTGGTAAGTGACCTGCAAACTGTACAGTTTGGGGTGGGTTTTTATTTTTATTTTTATTTTTTTCCTGAGAAATCCCACCCTATGACTTGCAGAAGCTAAAAGTCACCGGTCCGTGCTTATGCAAATGCAGGGTTTCCCCCAAATCAGGGTTTCCAGACCTTGGTAGCTGGAGCAGAGAGGCCAGCTAGGGTGTGCTGTCCCATGCCAGGGGAAGGAGGAGGTGACCTGAGGTAGGGAAGCAGGTAGAAGCTACTCACCACCGTTGAGTCAATCTTCGGTCCTCCATCATCAGCCACCACCGTCAAGGTGTAGAAATCCCCTTTCTCTCGATCCACCTGGCCTTTGACCGTGATCACACCCTGCCAAGGATGAACAACAGTTGTGTCGGCCACCAACACTGAAGTTCACGGTGGACAACCAAGCCAGGAGGGACCACGCTGTGGCTACTTACAGTGATGCCGTTGATTTTGAAGAGGGAGAGCGCCTGGGCGTTGGTGTTGGGGTCAAACTTGTAGGTGATCTGGTTGAGGTTGTCGATGGAGCGGGCTTGGACCCGGAGCACCTCAGAGCCCAGGGGGATGTTCTCCATGATCACGGCCTCGTAGCTGCTGTTGGAGAACTGCACGGCCTCATCCAGCTCATTCAGCAGGCTGACGTACACGCTGCAGAAGCCCTGGTTGTTGGGGGGTGCTTGGTCCGTGGCAGAGACATTCATCAGGTAGCTGGTTTTTGTCTCATAGTCCAGGTACTCAATCGTCGTGATGAGGCCCGTGCTCTCATCGATCTCAAACTTCCCTTCTGCGCCCGACAGGATTTTGTAGTTCACCAGACCGCCGTTCCCTGGGGCACGAGCAGGAACCATGGTGCCGGTTGGACCGAGCATCCCGAAGAGGCTGGGACCACCGATGCCAACCCCAACCCCGGAGCAGCGCCCATCCCACATGGGGATTTCAGCCCAGCCAAGCCAGGATCCGTGTAATGGCCGATTTCACCATTTTCTCCCCCAAGTTGGGTGTTTCTGTAAGGTGTCTCGGTCGGTGGCCCGGACCACTGCCACCGAAGTCCCTATCCCCGCTGTCTCCCGCAGCCCCAGGCGGTTGTACTGCCGCTGGGTGAACACTGGCACCTCGTCGTTGACATCTTCCACATAGATGATCACCTGCAAACCCCCCCAGAGAAACCATGAGTGAGCCAGGCAGGCTCTTGAACCCTCAACAGCTGCTTACACTTGTGAGGGGAAATATATCCTTCCATGGCACTCATCTGCCCCACAGGAGAAAAGTTATCTCTACTACAAACACCACGTGATGGAGAATGAACGCACATACATCATCAATTTAAACAAGCCCTGTGGTTGGAGTGACTCAGTCCTTCCCTGGCCAGAGGTACAGTCTGTATATTTATTCCTTTGTGCTTTGGGATCGCCTGCTCAAAACCTTGCAGTCAGAGTCCCCGTGATGTAGAAACGCTGACAACTCGGTGGGAAATTTTGCTCAAAGTTCAGCGGGTCGAGCTGCTGTTTCCCCAGGGAACATCCTTTCTGCTCCTGGTTTTCTACTTGCTGCTGGCACATCGTGCTCAGCCAGAGCTCACCCCACCAGTGGGTCTAAAAATAGATGCAACCAGAGGACTGGGTTTGTGGGAACTGTGGGAAGCTGGGTGTGTTACTGCTAAAGATTATTGCCACTGGGTCCTGGCTTATTTAAACCGATGCTGGGCCAGGAGACACGGTTTCCAACAGGCTGAGGCTCTGCTCTTCCACCCGGCAGCAAAGCCACATCTCGCCAGGTGAGTGGGACTCCCTCCGACAGTGACTGCCACATCGCTTTGCAGCCTCATCTCCCCGAAATGTCACAGGAAAAAAGAAAAACAAACAAACAAACCAACCCCCAACAAGCTCTTCTCCACCCACGGACAGCCCCCGGAGACTTTCCGTCAGTATTTTCATACCAGATTTTTCAAAGTTCCTGCACGCCCACAAGGGCTGGAGATGACTGCCCTCTGATGAAGCATCCCGAACATTTTGCAGGAACTCCTCCGCCGCCCAGCCCCTCTGCCCACCCCTCACCGGCCGCGAGGTCCTTACCCGCACAGAACTCCTCATGGGTCCCTGCTCCGTGTTGTAGGCCTCCACCTCCAGGACATGCGAGGAGTTTTGCTCCCTGTCAAGGTGCCGCACGCCTCGCATCACCAGCCCCGTGCTGGGATTGATGCGGAAGTTGTTGTGCTCGTTTCCTGACCGGGAGGGAAAAGCGAGATGGATGCTGCCCACTGCCGCTGCATCAGTCCTGGTGACACTCCGAGCCCTCCCCGGGGAGGCTATCTTGGAGGGAGGTTGTCGAGCAAAAACTCAAGCCCCATCACCTCCAGCTACATCAGGTTTTGGCCCTGGTCAAGCCAGGAGCTATGGCATCCAGGTGCTCATCCATGACAAATCATCCCCTGGTAATTAACCCTAGTGCTGAAGTTTTGCTTAGGGGTGGGTGAAATGTTTCTGCGGGCTGCAAAGTGCAAAACGATGGAGAGTGCAACCTTCCGAGGCTGTGCGTGCGGCTGGCATGGTGCAAGCCCACCGATGTGCGAAGGGGCACCTGGACTTACCCTTGACAATCCTGTACCACACTCTCCCGTTGACGCCTTCATCCGCATCTGTGGCTTTCACCTTCATGAGAAGAGAAAAGAAAAGTGGTGAAGGTGAAGGGCAGAGATGTCCAGACCGTGACAAGTCCTCGCACCCTGCCGAGGCTGGACATCCTGCTTCTCCACCTGCGCCAGGCAGCTTTCCAACTGCAAAGCAAAATAAGTTACCCTCCCCTCATCACCAGACAGCAGCGTTAGTGGGCTCAGGAGCCCTTGGCTGGGGCTGTTGGTTGGGCTCGGGGTGGGAGCGGAGCCTGAGGACCATGCCGTGAAACCCACGGGTCAGTGCATTGTGGAGGTGCCTCCATCGGTCCTGCCCTGCCCACCAATGCTTGCCCCACTGGAGATGCTGCCGGGGATAGAGCCTCCCTGCCCACAGAGATGGCCTGGGCTGGGCAGAGAGAGCTGCTCCCACGTCTGCTGGGCACGCAGCCCACGGCATCACGGCAAGTCACCCAAGGGGCTGCATATGTAAAAATTACCGAAAGAAACATGAATGCAACCAGCCTAGAGCATGCTGGTGGTCTGGACACTGCTCTGGGTCCTCGCAAGACCTCGAGCAGTGGGTGGGAGCACCCCTTAGCTGTGATGCACCGCACAGTCCGGGCACGTACCGAATAAGCCATACACCCCGGGAAACCCAAGACACGGGGCCCCTCTGGTGTCGCTGAACAACACTGCAGTGCTTTCCCTGCAAAGCCCAGCCAGCAACCCACTGGCCCCGGTAGCTGGGAAGCAGGGACCAGTAAGGGTCAGTGGGGACCAGTAAGGGTCAGTGGGGCCAGGGTTTCCTCCCCAGCTGGCACTGCGCCGCTGCATCTCCCCTCTGCAGAAACTGCTTCCCACAAAACATCCAAAGCATGACCGCAGCAGTGGCTGCTTGCAAATCACCGGGGTGAGGACGTGGGGAATGCCTTAGCCTTTATTCTCTGCCTGCTTCCCCTGGTAAGGCATCTTCTCCCATGTCTTCTCCCTACAAATATTACCCAGCGGTTTCCTTTTCCCAGGTAGGTGGGGGTTTGCGCCCAGATTTGCACTGAAAAGAGAAGGGGTTGCTGCAAAGGATGCACATGCAGCGGGAACGGTGAGGCCGTTTATAGGGGCTCAGCTTTAAAGCCCTGGGCTGGCTTTCACCCACAACGCTCGCAGGAGTCAGAGATGCTCTTCTGAAAGGCAGTTTTGAGATGCCTTGAATTGCTCTTGTTCCCTTCCACCAAATCAGCTTGAAACCTTAGAAAATGTTGACCTCCTGCACTTGCAAACCACCTGGATTTCCCACCCCTGTCCCAGCCCAGTTCACGCCTTGCTTATGGCCGGACACAACCCTGTGCCTTGCTCCACGTTTCACCACGGACCCAGCACCTTCCTTTTGGGGCAGAGAGCTCTCCCTCCCGCACCAGCTATTCCACCCTCGGGGCTCCCTGAGGCCGTTTCTGGGCAGAAGCCGGGCTGTCTCCTCTCCTGTGTGATGGATGGACCCCGCACCAGACGGCGAGCGATGCCGAGGCAGACCAGCTGCCTTGGCACGGCACTGGTTCCCTCCTGGGAAAAGCCATCACATCAGCCAAAACACCGTGATAGTGGTGGGAGGGAAACCTAAGGGGTGGGAGACAACTCTTGGCAGCTTTTTGTGCCATTCCCTGCCCTGCTGTGCCCAGGAAAATGCATTTCAAGGGATGGTTTTCAACGTGATGAGCGAACTGCACCCTGCAAACACCCCCTCAGCCATCCTTTTCCCAGCTCACCCCAAGCATTTGCTGCAGGCAGCTCCGGCATATAGTCCAGGTGAAATGGGTCAGCCCAGCTAATTTTTCTTTTTTTTTAATTAAAAAAATAGTAGTTTGCTTTAAACCAAGGCATGCTCCCGCCAGCCTGCACCCAGGAAAAGCTCGGTTGCCGCTGGTTTCACCCACTGGGGTCCCAGAGGAGGTGCGGTACTTTGATAGACTGTCCCAAACTTAGGAAAATGATTGCACTCGGCTCAAGTGGTGGGAGAAAAACTTTTTCTGCTGCGAGGGCAAGGCACCTTGTGCAGCCGAACGCCAAGTGCCCCCAGCCTGCTTTATCCCCCTGCTAGAGAGCGAGCGAGCGGGCTGCAGGCAGAGCCAGCCTTTGGCAGGCCACCTTTCAAACACTCCCAGCTACTGGAAAAGGGTCAGAAAAGGAGGAGGAAGGAGAGAAGGGAAATAAAAGGATGGGAAAAAAGTAGGCGGCTTGGCGGAGAGTTGCTGGGAAAAGGGAACAGGCGTGTGGAGGGCAGCCCAGTGCCCCCTCCCTGGCGCGGGGGGCTCAGCCCACGACTGTACCATTCAGCCTTCCCGCAGGGGCAAAGCCCAGGAAAATATGTCCCAGGGGGGGGCTCGACCCCTCGTCGCAGTGGGGCACAGCCCTAGGGCATCGCAAAACTGGCAAAGCCCGGGATGGGGCTCAGGGGTCCCCTCGGCTTTGCACGCTCGGGCTGTCCCCAGCCTGGCTGCCATCTCTCTCCCACCCTCCCTTGCCCTCCCAAAAGGAGGCGGGGGCTGGCAGGCCGCAGAAAGC